CGGTCAGAGCGAGTGCGTCGGGACGCGTCTCTCATGACGGCCTTGACCTTGTTGTTGTAGTTGTCCTGCCACGGTTGAACAAGAATTATCGTTGACCTCCCCCTTCCGGGGCGCATTGTTTTTGTTCAATTGAAGTGCCCTTCCTGGGTCTCGCACCCTTTTTAATCAGGGAGCGTCTTGGGTCTCAGAATCGGGCCCATGGCCCCCGAGTTACAACAACAACGGCTGGACGCACGCTTCAGCAACCCGCCTGCTCGACCTGGCCGCCTGGGCCCGCCTTCCCGACCCGCCTGTTAGGGTCTACCCGCACGATCTGCCCGCCTGGTTCTGCCCAATGTTTTCCGCTCCTAGCCCCCCACCCTTCTACCCTCTCTCTCGTGCTCCATCCTCCTCTCCCCTTGCCCCTTCCTTCCATCGGTCCTCTCTTCTCCTGCCGTGGGGGCTGTACGAAATACACGCTGCGGGCAAGAAAGATATCCCCCCAAGGGGGGTACGATCGATGATGAAGAGGGCGGGTATCGAGGGTTTGGGATCTACGTGTTGACTGGCCCGCGAGCAGATAAGAGCGAACAGTCTTAAACTGCTGGCTGTTGTTGAGCTCTCATCTCAGAAAAGTAATTATTGTTGATCCCCCCCGCCGGTTGCGCATGGTATTTTTCAATTGAAGTGCCCCTCCTGGGGTTCGCACATTGTTTTTTGGCAGGAAAGTCTTGAGCGTCAAACTGCGCCCCCAGCCCCCCAGTTACAACAACAACGGCTCCCACATGATACTTCTTCACCATTGTTTCCCGAATCGCGCTCTCGCGCGGGAATTATTCACAATTTATACAAGAATCGCGCTCTCGCGTGGGACTTCCTCGCCATTTATTCGGACGCCGCGCCCTCGACACTCAGGAATCACGCTCTCGCTGTGGGTTCCCTGGCGATTTATTTGGGAATCGAGCTGTCACTCGAGCCCTCCTCGCGATCCATGCAGGACGCACGCTTGAGCAACCCGCCTGCTCGACCTGGGCGCCTGGGCCCTCCTTCCCGACCCGCCTGGTAGGGTCTACCCGCACGATCTGCCCGCCTGGTTCTGCCCCGTGTTTTCTGCTCCAAGCCCCCCATCCTGCTACTCTCTCTCTCGTGCTCTATCCTCCTCTCCCCTTGTCCCTTCCTTCCATCGGTTCTCGCTTCTCCTGTCGTGGGGGCTGTGCGAAATACGCGCTGCAGGCAAGAAAGATCTATCCCCCCAAGGGGGGTACGATCGATGACGAAGAGGGCGGGTATCGAGGGTTTGGGATCCACGTGTTGACTGGCCCGCGAGCAGATAAGAGCGAACAGTCTTAAACTGCTGGCTGTTGTTGAGCTCTCATCTCAGAAAAGTAATTATTGTTGATCCCCCGCCCGTTGCACATTGTATTTTTCAATTGAAGTGCCCCTCCTGGGGTTCGCACATTGTTTTTTGTCAGGAAAGTCTTGAGCGTCAAACTGCGCCCCCAGCCCCCCAGTTACAACAACAACGGCTCCCGCATGATACTTCTTCACCATTGTTTCCCGAATCGCGCTCTCGCGCGGGAATTATTCACAATTTATACAAGAATCGCGCTCTCGCGTGGGATTTCCTCGCCATTTATTCGGATGCCGCGCCCTCGACACTCAGGAATCACGCTCTCGCTGTGGGTTCCCTGACGATTTGTTTGGGAATCGCGCTATCGTTCGAGCTCTCCTCGCGATTCATGCAGGACGCACGCTTCAGCAACCCGCGAGATTATTCATATTGTTGTTATTGCTATTATTGCTATTCGCATTATTACGTTATTTTATTCGTATTGTAATTGTTATTAACATCATGCTTGTTATCATTATTATCATCTTACTATTACTGTTGATGTTATTATTACTATTTGTATTATTATTGTTGTTGCTGTTGCTGCTGCTGCTGTTGTTGTTGCTGCTGTTGTTATTGCTGCTAGTAGTAGTAGTAGTAGTAGTAGTAGTAGTAGTAGTAGTAGTAGTAGTAGTAGTAGTAGTAGTAGTAGTAGTAGTAGTAGTAGTAGTAGTAGTAGTAGTAGTAGTAGTAGTAGTAGTAGTAGTAGTAGTAGTAGTAGTAGTAGTAGTAGTAGTAGTAGTAGTAGTAGTAGTAGTAGTAGTAGTAGTCGTAGTAGTAGTAGTAGTAGTAGTAGTAGTAGTAGTAGTAGTAGTAGTAGTAGTAGTTGTAGTAGTAGTAGTAGTAGTAGTAGTAGTAGTAGTAGTAGTAGTAGTAGTAGTAGTAATACGTTTCCACGATTTACTCTGAGAGCCCCAGGCCAGGAAGGCCCCCGATCTCAGGAACGGCGCTCTCGTGATTCAGCTACATTGGTGGAGGCCCAACTACGACGACAAGGGCTCTTATTCGATATTTCTTCAACATGTGTTCGCAGAGGCCCTTGCCAGAGAGGCTCCCAAACTCAAGAGTGGCGCTCTCGCTCGAGATCTTCTTGTCATTCAGGCAAGTTGGTGGAGGGAGGCCTAGACACGGCGACAAGGGTTCGCGTCCGACATTTCTCAATCTGTATTCTGAGCGCCCCTGGCCTGGCCAGAGACGCCCGCGAACTCAGGAACGGCGCTCTCGCTCGAGAGTTCTTCTCACTTGAGTCAGTGGCCGACAAGGAAGATATTACCCCCGAAAGGGGGGGCGAAGGCGAAGTGGGCGGGTATCGAGGGTTGGCATATACAGAATTTAACACACGCGTGCCAGTAAGAGCGAATAGTCTTAAACTGGTTGTCGTTGTTGTTGAACTCTCACTCTTGCAGAATATTTATTGTTGATCCCTCCTCCGTTTTTTTTTTTTTTTTTTTTTTTTTTTTTTTTTTTAATTTGAAGTGCTTCCACCAGGGCTCGCACCCTGTTTTTTATTGGGGAAAGTCACTCGGGTCAAGCTGCGTTGTTGGCCCCCGAACTACAACAACAGCGGCTCCCGCTTGATACTTCCTCACAATGTATACCAAATCGCGCTCTCGCGCGGGAAATTCTCACAACTTATACAGGAATCGCGCTCTCGCGTGGGATTTCTTCACAATTTATTCAGACGCCGCGCTCTCGACACTCAGGAGTCATGCTCTCGCCGTGGATTTCCTCACGATTGATTTGGGAATCGAGCTGTCGCTCGAGACTTCCTCGCGATTCATGCAGGACGCACGCTTGAGCAACCCGCCTGCTCGACCTGGGCGCCTGGGCCCTCCTTCCCGACCCGCCTGGTAGGGTCTACCTGCCCGATCTGCCAGTCTGGTTCTGCCAAGTGTTTTCTGCTCCTAGCCCGTGCTCCATCCTCCTCCTCCTCCCTCTTTTTCTTCCTTCCATCCGTCCTTTCTTCCCCTGCCTCAGGGGCTGTGCGAAATACACGTTGCAGGTAAGAAAGGTATACATACCTCCAAGGGGGTACTGTCGAGGACGAAGAGGGCGGGTATCGAGGGATCGGGATATTCGTGTTGCATGGCACGCGGGCAGATCAGAGCGAACAGGCTCAACATGCTGTTTGGTGTTGCTGCTGTCGTCTGGCCGTGGAGGTCGGTGCTCGAGAGTACTTCCGGGGAGGGACTGTGGCGCAGTGGCCACGTGGAGCCTCGTGGAGCGCACGTGCATTCGTTTTTTTTTTCCCGTCGCAGACGTCCGTGCGAACGCCGCAGTCTCTCCGATGCGAAGCACTGCGCGCCCCTACGCGCCTGCCCTGTGATTACCAGCCTCGATCGTATCCCTATCCCTAAGATTGACACGCCAAAAGGCGATGACAATCTTAGGGATTCGCCCTCAAAACATAAGGAAATCCCTAAGATTGGCATCGTGATGAGGAGGTGCCCAGCATAGGGATAGGGATATGCTCCAGGCTGGTAATGTGAGAGGATCCGCCCTTCCGGGGCTGCAGTGCGGGCCTGCCCCGCCTGCACGTCCGCCTGCCTGGTCGGGGCAGGGGGCCAGGCTCGCAGGCGCCCCGGCCCGTCGCTCGCGGCGTCGCCGCGGGCTGCGCTGGCTGGGGGGCGGGCCTCCTCCTTCCCCCCCCTCTCTGGCTCAACCTGCTCTCGCTCTCCCCTCCCCTGTCCCTCCGCCGTCATCCCCGGGGGGGTGGAATCCGAGATCGGCCCCGGCGTTTCGTTTGGGCTGGTGGCCAGTCTGGAATTGTCGACTTGAGAACCAGATTTCGAGGGAACGCTGAACATGCATTCAGGCGTGTGGATTCGCGACGGTTCCCGCATCCATATATGATCGGCGCGCGCTGTCGCCAAATGAGGCGGCGCTGGCCTCATGTGTCGGGGGTGCCTTCCCCGATCCATCGTGGCGTGCGCCCGCAGATTGATTGCCCAGCCTGGCCGAATCCGGTCAAGTGTGGCTTCACAGCTCCAGGAGCCGGCTTTCGGCAGAGCTCCGAATCGTGCCTGCAAGCAGCCCCCAGGAGGTGCCTCTTGCACCTCGCTGGGCCACATCTTTCACCCCCTTTTACTGCCGCTGCTCCTCTTGCTCCTCGCTCCAGCGGCTGTTTGAGTGCAAGTTGTTTGAGTGCGCTCAGCGATGTTGCTGGAGATCTGCCCGCCTCGTCTTCCTCTTCTTCCGCTCCTCCCATCCTTTTGGCGTTGCTCGGGCATTGGTCCGCACGATCGCTGCGTCCAAATTCCCCACTGCTCCTTGTCCTCATCCTCTTCCTCCTCCCCACCACTCTTCCTCCTCGGCTATTGCTGCTTCTGCTGCCACTGCCTTTGGTGCTGTAGTGGTGGTACTGCCACTTCTTCTTCTTCTCGTCTTCTGCATTCCGCATCCTCCCAGATCCTCGTCGCCCTCCTCGTTGTCCTCCTCGCGTTTTCCTGCTCGTCCTCCCAAGCACCATGCCGCCCAGCTGTTCCTCATACCCTTCGTCTCTCTGCCATGTGGGCGTCGGCGTCGGCCGGGGGAGGCAACACTTTGGTGGGTCGGGGGGGCAGGATCTTCGCTTTGGGCACATCAGCGCTGCGCGTTGAGACCCTCCGCCGTGTGCAGTGCCCCGCCTGAGGCCGCTCTACATGCGCCTGGAGCACAATTTTATCGAGCCTGACGCCATCCAGACGAGCATCGACGCGGGCAGCGTGATAGCGACGAGGAAGGCCCAAGGCGCGGGCGCCGCCAACTGTTGCTGCGCCGGCCGCCGCAGTGGGCGCGAAGTCCGGAGATCCGCCAAGTTCTGTTGAGAAAGTGCAAATCAATCGTTTCCGATTCTTGTCGGCGGCGAGCGAGGGGGGGAGGCGAGAGGGAGAAGGCCTTCTCGGAAGGCGGCAGCACTTCTCTCAGAGGCCCTCGCGCCTTTCAGCAGTCTTCTGTGTTCTCGGGGAAGGCTTAGCAAACTTCTCAGAAGGCCCGGGTGCTTCCGAGCCTTCTGAGGCGGCCTTCTTCCTCGCGCTCCCCACTTGGGCCCGTCGCCAGTCTTCGGGGGTAGCGCTAGACTCCGAGGGCCGACCTTCCTGACGAGGTCTTCCCCGCTCCCCAGATGACCCCCCCCCCCGCGGCCGCTCCCGGGCCAGAGACACTCTTGGGGCCAGGGGCACGTTCTGAAGCGATGAGGAGCCGAAGGTGACGATGTGCATGTTCGGGCTTTGAGATCGTGTAGGGTCGATTCCCTAGTGAATCGGGTTAGCGGAAGGGCTTCCAACTTCCCTTGTGCACGGGTGTCCGATTTCGATGCTGACAGAGGCCCTCGGATTCCTGAATGATCCCCACTGAATCCCCACTGGGGCGTGTAGGGTCGATTTCCTAATGAGTTGGGATAGCGGAAGGGCTGCCAATTTCTTGTGCACGGGTCTTCGATTTCGATGCTGACCGAGGCCTTCGGATTCCTGAGTGATCCCCACTGGGGCGTGGGGTCTTCAAGGATCCTGCCCTGTCCTTTCGCTCGCCCCATTCTTTTCGTTTTCTTTCAGCCGGATTTCATTTGCCCTTTGGTCTGTTCTCGTCTTGATGTTATGTTGTTTGCGTCGTTGCTTTTCGCTTGCCTTTCGCCTGCCTTTTCTTTGCTCTCAGCTTGCCTTTGGCTTGCCCTTAGCGTGCCCTTGACTTACCGGTTAGCTCGGTTTTGTAGGGTATTTGCAGGTTGATGTGAGCTTGGCGTTAACCTCTAGTCCTTCAGCGCGCGTTGCCTCCGTCAGCTGCCGCTTTCTTGTAACTTGCGTGTAGACAGGGTTTTAGCCTACTTGGAGCTTATTTTTAGCTTGCCATTCCCCAATCAGTGCTTGCACTGAAGGTTTCCTCGCGGAAGTTGAAGGATTTGGTGAAAGTGTCCCGCCGATTTTGGTCGCACGCTGGGTTCCCAGGTTCCCGGATCTGGTTTCCCGGGTTTCCGGTTCCGGATTCCAGGCCGATGTCGGAGGGCGGCGAGGTTCCCGGGTTCTCGTGTTCCTGGTCGATCTTCTTATCGATCGGTCTCACCATCGATCTCATTACCCTTTTCTCTATCGATCTCACCATCGATCTCACAATCGATCTCACTATCGATCTCACAAGCGATCTCACTAGAGATCGCATGAGCGATCTCGCGATCGATCTCACTATCGATCTCATTGAATCGATTTCACTCTCGGTCTCATGATCGACCTTACAATCGTCCTCACTATCGATTCCACTATCGATCTCATTTTCGATCTCACAATCGATCTCAATATCCATAGTATTAATTTTCAAAGCATCCACTTATTGGGTTTTCTCAGATATAATCAGCTTGTATGTCGCTGGTGTTCGCTTGCCACTAGCTAGCCGCCAGCTTGCCTTAATTCTGCCTTTGCGGTGACATTTTTGTCTTCGGTTGTCTTCATCTTGCCCTCAGCTTTCGTTTCCAGCTTGTCTCCAGCTTTATTTTACTTGTGTAGGCTCCTTCTTTTGTGGGGCACGCTGGACTCGTGAATAGGTTAACTCGGTTCTAATTACACCAGAGAAAACCCTAATCAGTGGATGGTTTTCGCTGAGGAGATCGACCGGGAACCCGGGAGCCCGGGAACTCAGAGCCCACCGAAATCGGCCCGGAACCAATGACCGGGAACCCAGGAACCCGGAACCGGGAACCCGGGAATACAGCGTGCGACCAAAATCGGCGGGACACTTTCGCCAAATCCTTCAACTTCCGCGAGGACCCCTTCAGTGCAAGCACTGATTGGGGAAGTGTGACGGTCACGGTCCAGGTCCAGGTCCAGGTCCTGGAGCGGTGGCCTTGGCCGTGGCCCGAAGCCTGCCGCCACTTGTGCCCTTCTCTGTCTACTCCTCTCTCTTGCAGTTCTCTCTCTCCTCCCTGCTCCTGCTCGGCGTCCTCCCGTCACATTGTCCCTCGCGTCTCCTTCCAAGCCGTTCTGGCTCATGTCATGTTTACCCAATGTTTTTTCGGTACTACTACTCTTTCTCTTTGACGCGATTCCGCATTTCGAAGCGTCGATTCACTCTACTGCTTACATATGTTTTTGCAGCAGCGCGCGCTTGCGATGCCGTTCAGGTGACCGACTTGCAGAGGCAAGCCAGCGAGCTGGAAGATGAACACAGGACAGGGGTACATCTGCACGCAGTTGCGCCGAGTCCAGAGCAAGCCTTCAACCAGTACTTGGACACTCATCAAGATGGATCGGAGTATGGTGATTCTGGAGTTGCGGGAACAATGATGTCGCCGACTGGGGCTTACGGCCCGATCCTCGTCGTCTATCTGACGTATGGTAACAAAGCTCCTTACAAGAGCCTGGCAGACGTGCGCAGGATATTCTGGGACGTTCCAGGCCTGAACCACGCTCTGTACCACAACTCGTGGCACACGGCTTGGCTTGAGCCCTCCGACGTCGATTTTTTCGAGATGGAGTCGGCTGTGGACCCTGCAACTTGGGGATATCGCTTGGCTGATCTCGCAACGAGTGTATACTGGTCGGAGACTTATCAGGCACAAACCAGAACACGACTTTACAAGCATACGTTGGTATTTGCACCTGGGGACGCTTTCGTGGCCTCCGCTTTTTCTCCGACTTCCAGCTGGTGGAATGGGTTTTCGCTATTTTAGACGCTTCGCGTAACTCCACCAGCCTATCCAGAAACATTGACCAGGCGAGTTGCCCTGATCAGGCACGTGGGGGAGCATGCAGTGGAATACAGGCTGGGAAGCCGTCATACCCCAAGAGGGGGAGGCTGAAGCAGGAACCGGAGGAGGAGGAGGAGGAGGAGGAGGAGGAGTAGCAGAATGAGAAGGGATATGAGCGAGGAGGGATAAGGAAGGAGGGAGGAGGAAAACGCTGGATGGCGGCAATTGGCGTCTCAAGGTATTGAGGTCTGAGTTGTGGAGGTACGTTGGCACCTCTCCCTACTGCCATCTTCGTTGGCCGAGGGGCCGTAGGGAGGGCCTCGGCCCCCTCCATTGGCAAGTGGCGCAGAGGGGTGTGTGTGTGTGTGTGTGTGTGTGTGTGTGTGTGTGTGTGTGCGTGCGTGCGTGCGTGCGTGCGTGCGTGCGTGCGTGCGTGCGTGACACCACAGCGGCACATGTGACGCTGGGGCGGCACGGGTCGAACTGTCACCCTGGTGGCTGGGGCGTTGACGATGCGGCCGCATGAGTGACACCGAAGTGGCACGGACAGCCCTCCAACACCCCGATTCAGTATTTTGGATGGGAGTGGGGTGGCCAATGCGCCATAGTGCGTAGGTGAACTGACATTGACAGGCACAATCAACCAGCAGGGGAATAAATCCCGTTCACGGCCCTGGGGAGGAAAACGCTGGATGGTGGCAATTGACGCCTTAAGGTATTGAGGTCTGAGTTGTGGACGTACGTTGGCACCCCTCCCTACGGCCGTCTTCGTTGGCCGATGGGCCGTAGGGAGGGTCTCGGCCCCCTCCATTGGCAACTGACGCCGTAATGTATTGGTGCATTAGTGGGAGAGGGCGACCCAAGCGGCTCCTATGATGGCAGCCGCAAGGGGTGTGAGGCCTATGATGGTCCTCACTGGTGAGGCCTATGATCATCCTCACCAGGGTGGGGTGGGGAAGAGGGCAGGAAGGTCGAAGCGGATGTCCGACAGCAACGTCTTGTGGGGATACCCGAAAGGGTACGTCAAAACGAATAACGTAAATATGCAGATTTCGTGCATGCTATGCTGTTCCTCACGCGCCACACAGCACGGCACACGCACCACACCTCACGGCACCGGAGAGGGAGGGGTAGGAGCGAGGAGGGAGAAGGAAGGAGGGAGGAGGGAGGAGAAGGATTAGGCGGAAAAGTAAGAGGATGAGGAGGATGAGGAGGAGGAGGAGGAGGAGGAGGAGGAGGAGGAGGAGGAGGAGGAGGGCGAACAGAACGGCCAGCTGCCTCTTGGACGCTTGTTGGAGTCTCTTCGGGTGTCTCTTGAGAGCTTCTTGTAAGCCTATTGGGGCGTCTTGGGGGCCTCGTGGCGATCCCTGGGGCCTCTTGAAGCGTTTCTGGTGCCTCGGGGGAGCCTCTTCGGGCCTCTTGGTGGTCTCGTTGGAGCCTCTTGGGGGCATATTGGGGGCATCTTGGGGGCCTTTTGGGGCCTCCTGGGCCCTCTTGGGGCACTCTTGGGAGCCTCGGGGGCCATCTTGGGGCTATCTTGGAGGTGATCGATCAAAAAAGGAGGCATACTCAATTCGGGTCCCCCCCCAGGAGGCCAACATTGGCCCAAAACCTTGGTACAATGAATGATTTCGCCGAGGCCACCTTGGACGCTCGGACACCTCGCAGGGCGCCCCGTCAAGGTCCAGGGGGAGGGTGTGGAGGGGGAAGGAGGGGGGTGTACGAAGACGCGCCCTGAATCACTCACGCCCTGAAGGGCTGGTAGGATTCTACCACGGCGCGCAGACTTGGCAAACCGTGTTTCACGAGCTAGGGCACAATTGGGGACTCCACCATGCAGGAGGCTATGAGCCCACAGGGGCGTTCAACGAGTACCTGGACGATGCGATCATGGGATATCAGCGAGAGTGGCGGCCCGGAGACACCACGGCGATCGCGCGATACAGACTCGGCTGGCTCACGGGGGCCGAGATGGTGCAGCTCGCTCGGGGGACCGACGTCATGACGGTCGCCCTGTCCCCCTTCAACGAGGGGCCCGAAGGGCCAGATTTCTTGCTCGCGAGGCTCCCGTGCG